CATGGTCCACAAGTACCTATTAGGGGACAGATTTCTGAGAGTAGAGGTTTCAGAGTAACAGCCGTGTTAGTCTGTATCCGCAAAAAGAAGAACAGGAGTACTTGTGGCACCTTAGAGACTAACAAATTTATTAGAGCATAAGCTTTCGTGGACTACAGCCCACTTCTTCGGATGCATATAGAATGGAACATATATTGAGGAGATATATATACACACATACAGAGAGCATAAACAGGTGGGAGTTGTCTTACCAACTTATCTCCTCAATATATGTTCCATTCTACATGCATCCGAAGAAGTGGGCTGTAGTCCACGAAAGCTTATGCTCTAATAAATTTGTTAGTCTCTAAGGTGCCACAAGTACTCCTATTCTTTTTGCGGATACAGACTAACACGGCTGCTACTCTGAAACCTTTTTTTAAAAAGGTTACTGTTTATTTGCTGAATATACAGTGCACATTGTTGGGTTTCCTGTGTCTTTGTTTTATCAACTTTAACAACTGGTGTGCATGGTCTTGTGCAGGTTGTAGAGTTCTACCTTGCTGAGTTCTTGGTTCACATATGTCAGGCATGGTTTTTAAGTGGATTGTGCCTTCAAGAGTAACTAAGGGGAAAAATTTTGAGAAGCTTACACAAAAAAGATAGTAAAGCAGTAAAAGAATGTATTTAATAATTTTTGGATTCAGCTTTCACTCTCCTCCATTAAATCTGCCAGTGTCATTAATTTTATTGATGCATTAAAATCTACAAGTTTCAGAGTATGAAAAATAAAACTCAGTACTCAAAAGGGTGCAAATGCTATTCCTGTTTGTCAGGTTTACTCATAAGGATTCTGTACATTAATATTGACAAGTCAAAGTTGGATACATGTGAAAGTTGAGTTTTCATTTGAAATGCTTCCTTCAGATTCTGTATCTCCATTTACAAACCACAAATGCATAGTATTGAGATGTTGATGTGTAGTTTAAAAATGCTTTAAAAATAATCGTGGTGCATTTTTAATTTACTAAAATCAGCTACTGCATTAATATTGTTTGAGTGCACCTCATAGACTGACTTTTTTTGCAAACATTTTTCTTCAAAATGAAGTCCTGCTTAGCTGACAATTTAAAAACAGATTAAACACTTTACATTCAGGCTGACTACAACTGTCCACCAAGTTATAACTTGCTGAAATCAACAAACTCATTGTAAATATGGAGATTATTATGAGTAGTCCCGAACACGTTACACTTAAAAGTAACATGGCTTTCTATATTGGTTAATATCTCCTCTCCCTAAAATTACACTGCTCTACAGCCAAAATGCTTCT